AAAGATAAAGCAACGAAATCCGCGATTATTATATTTTTGCCTTGAACGAATACAATATGTAATTGACCGTTTAGTTTCAATTATAGAAATGACTTTGCACTGAATTACATGAGAATATCGAAAAGATGAAATTCGATTAAATCCATTAAAATCAGCGTTGAGTCGAAATCTGATTTTTAGATTCGCGGAATTCGAGAACTCTTTCCCTTTCTTTTGGTCCAAGCATTATTTCATCAGGAACTAAAATCTCGAAAAAATCTTTTCGTTAAATCAAATTATTTATTGAATATAATTACTTGACAATTAAATGTAATTATAACTTAATTTTTGATCGATACAAACGTTTATAACGGATTGGTGAAATCGTACCAATTAAAATGTGTATAAAGTCTAAACACAATCTCAATCGGATTATTATTAGTTAAATAAAAATAAATTCGTATCTCGACAATATCCCCGCAAATTGTTTATACAAATTATTATTTACCTGGATTTCGAAAGTTCCGAATCACAAAAATTGCGCAAAGTTTCGAGTAACCCATCTCTAATTAAACTGGGATTATCCACGTGGAAGTCTAATGCTATAAATTCTCGTGTGAGGGTCTAGTACCGGGTATACCCACGTGGGAATCTAGTGCCGAGAGTTCTCGTCTGGGCGTCAAGTGTCGGGAGTACCCATGTGGAGGTCTAGTAAACTCCTACGATTGACAAACTTTTGTATATTTTAATCAGTAAATACAGTAAATTCTCCCTAATTGACGCTTAGATTGTCCAATTTTGTGTACAATCGAGAATTGACTATAGTACTTTTTTTCATTCGGGGTCCATAAGCACCTCACGTGGGTAATCTCGAATTAAAATGTATTATAACATCGATGCCCTCTTGTCAGGACTGTTCTTTTCAATTTCGCTCTACACATACAGGGTGTTACGCCTAACTGAGAACAGTGAAATATCTCGGAATAGATCGAAACTACGAAAATAATGTTTATACAAAAAGTGTTCAGTATAAAGAGATGTTCTAGGTAGTCTGAATAATTTTTTTTTTTAAATAATTGCGAATGATATTTCAAAGTCAAGTTGATGTTTTTAAATGGGGCCATAGATTTTTTAGTCATAATACGATAGCTGGTTTGAATACGAATCCAATATTGTATTATTTCTTTCAGATAATCATAAATTAGGAGCAATTAAATTTGCAACAGAGTGAGGTGGATGGACGGTATTACAAGTCGCGTTGGAACTTTTCTGAAACTTTTTTGGAACTTTTCTGGAACCTTTCTGGAACTTTTGGAACTTCCGGAACTTTTCTGGAAACTTTTATAACGTCTTCAAAATGACAGAATTTTAAGTTCCTGATCCGTATATTTAAAGTATTTTAGTAAATATTATATCATATTATTGGATTCGTCCAAGTGTCAACTACAATCTTATGAAACACAGTATGATTTCAATGTTAAAACATTGTTTAGTATAAACATTGTTTTCGTAGCTTCGATCTATTTCGTGATATTTCGCTGTTCTCAGTTAGGCGTAACAAGTATACAAGTAGATCTCCATGTACGTGTTGGCTTTTGTTTATTGCATACAAGTTCTTTATTAATGGGAAATATTTTAATTCGGCATGTGTTAAATCGGTCTCGTCAAATCAATGACAAAGTCTATTAACACGCGTTGGCTTAAAGTCGACAATTAAATTTTCTTCCGGCTTGCCGTGTACAGGTTCGTTTACATCGACAGACAGTCGGATCTGTTCCGCGGCTGGTGCAATCAACGGGGATACAGGACACAAAAAAAAGAGTGATCGCGGGTGGGAATGCAATCAAGAGCGCGAAACAATGGACAAATTGAACGTTTAATAAACCGCGTGAAGCCTTGACCGCAAGAGTTGGTGGAACTGAAACATGAAACGACGCAATCTCCGCCGAGACAAGGATTTCCACACAAAAACACTGCCAAGTGGCTGGAACTACACACTTTCCCACAATCGACTCGCTACACACAACAAACCGCACGACGTTCGGATCCATTCGTCGTGAAGCTTAAAAGCGAAATAGTGTGGAAAAATCGATCCTTGACAAACTAATCCGCAAAACCCTCATCCATCTCTGTTGCCCGCGGTTTCTTCTCATACTATGGTGGTCACGGATTTAATAGTCGACGTCGCAGAGTTCTCGTTCCTAAAAACCGTGCAATTTTAAGATTTGATACATGGAGTTAATTAAAATTACGTTTCGAGTTAGCTATTTTTCTTTTGCTCTTAGCGCTTCTACAGGCACTGTAAATGAACACGTATTTACTTTTCTATGCTAACGAACTTGCAATATTCAGATTGTGGAAAGCTCGAGTTCCTGTACTGCCGGTAAAGCAATATACAATGGATCGCGTCTCTCTATTTTTATTTCCTGAAATTTTGTTAATATGATGCATGGAAAACAAAGCTTTTTGCAGCAAGTTAACAGGTTACGTTCATGTATCGGATTGAAGTTTTTTGTGCCCATTTACGTAAAAACACCTCACATTTCCCTTTACAATCTCGGTCCAAGGATATTAAATAGAAACGAAGCTTTTCATTGTGTTGAATGCTTCCAGCACTTTCTACATTCTAATAATCTCCGCTTTTTGATCATTCTTACTACCAGTGCACTATCTTTCAATATTTTCTGGTGCTTAATAAATGGCTTTTATGTGTTTGTAATGATGTTACTACAATATCTGCATTCTCTTTCAGTCGAAATACTTTCTAATATTGTACATATAATATCTTTTTCTTTTTAACTTTTTTCGATAGAGAATTTAATGCACAGAAATGAAATTCTGTTTCTTAAAATGTCATCAATACGGATCTTTATGCAAAATAAAGATTTGATACATCCGTTGCGAGAAACAGAAACTGCATAATCATTTATTTTATAAATAATATAATCAAATTATTACATCTTTTTAATAGTGTCAGTGTTTTAGATCTACTCATTTTTGTCATCAATACGTGAAATCCGCAGTCTAGTTATCCTATTAATTTTACTCTTTCTAATCGCAGAACCGTTAAACTTTGACTCAGCCAAGTTTTGGAATTCAATAAACTGTCTCATATTTCACGCAAATATTATCAAAATATGTTTTAATAACATACGCATCATACTAGTCCCATAACCCATTAACTGCCGAATTTTTTTTTTAATTTTTGACGGGAAAAATTATCTATATACACAAAAAGTTGTGTAACAATATAATTATATTCAAATTATATTTCGTTGTTAAAATATTTTATATTTTTCACAAAGTTCCAAATGGGGATTATGGCAGATTGCATGAATAAGAAAAACAAAATCTTTTTTATTGCATGAAAAACAAAAGACTGAGCAAGTAGCACATAGTTACTATAATCTCCAAATTGCATATTTGTGTGTATGGTATTTAATTATAATATGAAAACTAAACCAAAAAAAATATCGTGCTTAAAATACGATAATTTTGTTGTGTTCAACTTACAAATGATTTCCAAATTTGTTGCACCTGTTGAAAAGAAACGAAACACAAAATACACGCAGCGTCTGCTATAAACAACATTGACTGACTCTTGCTATATATATATAAACAACATTGACTGACTCTTGCTATATATATATATATATAGCAAGAGTCAGTCAATGTTGTTTATATATATATAGCANCATGTATAAATTCGAGTAACATAAATTAGCTTTGGAAAAAGTTTCTTTCGTTCAACAACTATGCGTAAATGGGTCACTTTCACTTGAAACGTTTAGTAGGAGCATGTCTCGGAGATCAGTTTCGCTGTCGGGAGGATTCGTTGAACGAGATATTACTGTACTTTTGTTCTCTCGTCGGGTTGTTCCTAATGTGGAACAACTCCGTTGATAAAAGTTGTCGCGCTCGCAACGAATCGATAGCATTTACGAAAGCAACGCATAAATCGTCGAGGATCGAAGATACAGAAAGAACGAGTCCAACGTGAGACATTTCTGTCGCGATGTTTATTTACATCGCAATGGAATCGTCGAGCGATTTGGTTCCGTACCGATCGGGAAATGTACGCGAAAATTACGCAGCAAGCACATGGAAGAAGGACGATTGCGAGAGGACACAACAGTTGATGCTGTACGAGCCGGGAAACGTGGACGAGTTCGCGAATGAATCGTTTAGATGGTACGGAATATGCCCGGCGAATGCATTTGTACGAGCAGCGCGGATCGAGGGTCGCGACCGATACGACTGACACGGTAGCACAACTGTAAACAAACCGAGAACCAACTGTCATCCGATCGATGTAACAGCTGTCACCGTGGCCAGCTATCCGGACGGGACCGCTCGTTTAGCGTCCGTTGTTATTTCCAAAACAAAGAACGTCATCAAGAAGGTGGAAAAGAGTCGAGACGACGGTCAACTTAGTCGCTCGCTCTGCGTCGCACTTACCGTAGCAGGAGTGAAAGCGTTTTATTGTTGGCGCACTCGAGGATTTTTTTCTTTTCCCAACCCTCGACGGTCTTGACCCATTCCTCGCCAGGACTGCGCCAATCCTTCGATATGAACGGCATCGTCTGCGAGCAGAGCGCGAGACGAGCGTAGTCGCGCGCGCAACCGTACCTCTCCCCGCGAGAAACCTTGGAAAATCCAGCTCACTGTTTCGCGGACGCCCAATGTTTGGCAGCGAGACAGCACGGTTCGTTCGGTCTGCTTCGCGGCTCCGATCGACCGCGCATGGCTTTGTTTTACTGACGTCACTGTCCTATCAGCTGTGCGACCGTCCGATCGCTTCGCTCTCGCCTGTCTGGATATCCTCCCGCCATCTTGAATCTTATTCCAGTGGCGCATGCGTGGTAAAGCACGATACCTCACAGCCGCAATATAATTTACACTTACCTTGTACATATACCACACGTATCGGATGAATGTACAGAATCTTCGACTACGTGTTGCAGGCAACTATTACAAATGTTTCCAATGAAATGAAGATGGTGAAATGATTTACACGCTTCTATTGGTGGTTTTAAAAATTAATAACTGAAAGAAAAATCCTTATTTCTGACTTGTAAAGTTACATACTAAAACATACACTATACGTAGTCGAGCACTTTGTACATGTTTCAATCGTTTTCTTCTTTTCTACGGCGTATGTCTTCTTGTATGTTTAAGACGCGCTAACGCGTGATGCGAATCATGCTATCCGGACGAGTACAGGAAAGCCGGAAATATGTACAATCTTTAAGTTATATTTAAGTCGTTTAAATGTTTGCCTGTTTCAGAAACGCCCTGTGCAGATGTTGAACTGTTTGCTTTTTCTTTTCCTTCTTTTTGTTCTTCTTCTTCCTCCTCCTCTTCTTCCTCCTCCTCTTCTTCTTCCGTTTCCGAATCAGTCGGCGGATAGTCTGAAACAGCTATCGGGAAGAAACGAAAGTAATGTCGGTTATCTGGATTAAAATGGTATAAATAATTGTAATTTTACCGAGTCTATCGATCTTTTCCTGCCTCGCGTCGGCAATAAATTTTTCTTGCGTCGCTATAATTTCTTCCGAATTTGTACACAGTGAATATTTCTTCAGCAATTCATCATTTACTTCCAAAAACGTATGGCCCCAAGAAAATTTGCCAAGATAGAATTTGGCTTCCTCTGTAAATCCAGTTATGAACAATGCAGCTGCTATAGCTTCCACACAACTCAGTTCACAAGGTTTGCCATAATTAATTGGATTCGCGGCGACTAGGAACGGCAAGAGACGAGGATTCGGAGTCCTCATTCTATTGAACGGAGTATCGCCTAAACGCGCCCAACTACAATCGACGACGGCGCAACCGTAATCACGTACGATGTCACGGTCGGTTGGACTGACACACTGAAACAGAATATTTTACTTGAAATACATTCGTTCATCTTCTTCATTCATTCTATGAAAGAAGGAACTAAGTTTATACATTATACATTTAATCCATATATATATATATATATATACCAAGTGGTGTACGAAAAATTCCAATATCCCCAAACGGTGGCCGTGGCAATTAATGGATTAATTACTCCACTGAAAACCATATCTAAACATCTAATTTTGAAAATATGACCAGCCAACTGTTATCCTTTCAATTAGCTAGTGCACTAAAATTTGATGCAGTCAATATTTACAACACGATAAACAGCTTCTCGCTTTATGCCAATATCAGTAAAAAATACTTTCCAATAACAGGCACGTCCTGAACAGTTTCGCAGAGAACCGAACGCGACGGGACAAAATTCTGTTTATAAGAATGTTATCAGATGACCGGTGCTCGCCTAATCGCGGCTCCACTAAAATTTGATACGGCAAATTTCCACCAATTTCTTCTTTCACGCTCGGCCAGCACGACACAATTATCCCGTGAATAGAACGAGTCCGGGTTTTCTCTCTGGCCTCGGCTATCTCTGGGTCCGCGAGAGCATTCAGTTTCGCGACAGTTGGCTGGCCATGGTCTCGCGTTAGTAGATCGCGGTGCCGTTGTTATTCGAAGTTATCAGAAACACCGTGCTTATCGTCATGGCCTGTTAGCCAGCTAGGAGCGGGCGGATCTAGCATAGCTTAAATAAAACGGGCCGCGGCCCGATGGACTGCATAGACCCGATGCGGCCACCGGCCACCGTATCTCGTGTCCTTTATTCCCGGCGAGCTCTTTCGCGAATTCATTTCTACGTTTTTACAGCCAGACGTCCATCTTCTGTCCTCATTTGTATAACGAGACGGTATAGGTTTTAATTGCGCCGAAAGAAATCTTCCATTACCGCTAACGACATCGATACGGCGAAGGCAAGAGGAAAAAGTAAACGGCTGTTTCGTCGGGACTACCGTTCCCAGGATTAAAAATTAATTTTCATTTAATGAGCAGTCATTTCTCTTCGCCGTCGCGCACAACCGATACCGAATTTCGTTTTCATCGCGATACAGATTTATTAACGCGCCGCGCCGCGCCGCGCCGTATCGGGATAGAATTTCTCTGTTATTTTATTCGAACGCGACCACGGCCGCCGACGACATAAATTCTGAAATACCGGCACGGTGACAGCCTTCTCCAGCTCGTAATATAAAACTTCGTTACTGCGGACAAAAATGGCGGCCACGTTGTTTCCATTTGTCCCGGCCGTGGCTGGGCTACGTAGGTAATGTTTCCGGACTCGCCGGGAAATGGGGAATCCTAACACCGACCCGCGACGCACACGGTTCGCGCGATTACGCCCTCCGTGGATATTGAATAGGTCTTGAAGAACGAATAGAACCGAATGATTCTGGCCGGAAGGCTTGATGAACGCCCCGATGAAATAGTCTGCCGACCTCGGCGGAATTCATTTCACTTTACGCTTAAATTATATCTGTTCGCTCGCGGACAGAATGCGCCGCGTAAGGGAAACGAATTGTGTCTCGAATCCAGTCCCAGGAAAAATTTAATGGTCGACCGTGTTCCTCACGTCAGAGATTTAGTTTTGAGGTGCGCATTCGTCGCCTTTTCCACGCTCTTTCGTCCTTTTATGAAATGTCGCGTACACACGTTCCTGTATTTAGTTTGATGTAGATTGAAGCAAACGTCAAATTTCTTTCACTTGCTTGAACGTTACACGCGGGGAAAATGAAACAGAAGCACTGTTACCTTTTACATTTTTTGCCGGTACCGTGAATGTATAAATATTCAGTGGATTGCATGGAATCCATAGACAAATAATGATAACAATGCTTAAATAATAAATTGACAGTCAATCGAATCGAAACTGCGTTTAGGCTAGTTAACAAATTTGTATATACTTGAAAAACTTTAGTCACTTCTTTAACCCTTACAGGACCATAAGGTTGCTAAGAGTATGTAACTGTTTATCTTAGTTTGTTTAGACGTAAAATAAATACAAATCATAAGAAAGATAAATAACAATGTGTAGCTTTTTTGGAATTTTATGGGAAATATTTGTCCCAATGAACTATAAAGGTAACACAGACCATGGTTAGGCTTATTATGCAATGTCTTTTATTTATTGGTTTATTGTAACAAAATGTTAACGAAAATAATAGAAAATTATGAAATAAAATTACTATACAAAATAATGCGTTATTTATGATATTCCGTGATGCAATTTTTTTTGGTTGTGAAGCAAAGATAAACATTGCACATAGTACATATACATATTATGCGTCCTATTTTTTATACGGCGTTTAGCACAATTTGCACGTCTTTTTTATTTTTTGTCCGCTTTTTGCACGCTGTGTGCTGGCAAATTGCGTTTTGTACCAAAAATAACCAATAATCAAATACGACAGTCACCGATTTTAAAATGGGGAAAAATGTTTCCCTTAATCGTGAAGGGGTTAAAAACTAAATTGTATACAATTTACTTTCGCGTCGATATCCGAAGAATTCACTCGTAAAATCTTAATTTTCTTCTTATCCGTACTACAAACGGTATTTCCTTGAACAGTCGAATTATAACTAAAATCAATTTCCTGATTGAATGTGCAAATAAAAACTGTCCAAGCTACCATCGCAGAATCCCTTATGCAATCATAGAGTCACCCATCGCGAATTCTAACCACACGTCGAACATGATAGAACAAACCCGAATGCATCGCATATAATGCACGGGTCAGTGAATGGGTTCATTATACGCCTCGCCCATATGCAGCCAAAACAGAAAAAAATTCCGGAAAAATTTCTAACCATTAAAAGCATTCCAGAATTCGTTGTAGCGATCCGTTGTTTCATCAAACAAAATAGGTTCGTGTAGCTGTGAGCCGAAAAACAAACAAAAAAAAAACTGATCGAACCGGTTCGCGTATGAACACGGTGATCATCCGCAATCGTATCTTTCCAATGGGATCGGCTCGATGCTGCAGATAGGCGAATACAGGGTCTCTAATTGTGCTCTTTTCAGCGTGGAGAAAATTCGAGGCTCGCGGCGGGGCGGGGCGGGGTAGAATGAAAACAGCGGCGGGTAGCTAGCGGACAAACGGCTGCGAATCCGTGCAATTATAATCGACGCGGCGAATGGGTTAATTGAATCGGCCGTAAATTGCAATCGGCGAAGTTGCTGGGAAATTGCTGGATGCGCGGTATGTCACACATCTGCGGCGCGCGGAACGTGCTCCACCGTGGGATCATGGTCCGCGTTCGGCACTTATTTGGACTGAGGAACAGTGGGCTTGCGGACCGGATCGGGTCGGATCGGATCGGATCGGATTGGATCGGATCGGGTCCGGTCGGGTCTCGGGTCGGATTTCGGACCGCGTTCGAGTCGGACCGGGCAGCTACAACTTGCCCAATGGTTCGATCATCCTATAATAACCGACCACGTCAAGACAAATATGCGGTGAGCAAATTTTGACGAGGTACTGCGCCCCATATTTGCGTTCGATTTTACCTTCCGGCGTAACCGCGATTGGTAACCGCGGACTTCCGCTTTCCGCGTCGCGCGTCCGCACACCCGATCCGTCTGCCAGCGTTACAGTGATATTACCGATGGTTTATTCCCGACAGGATCCCGCCGAGAACATCCCAGCCGCCTACTTTAGTCTTACGCCGTTGTTAGCGGATCATTCGGGAATCAAATCCTCATCGGCACGAACTGAATGCGGCTTACGTAACGGGCCACTGATTTCGTCAGTTAATGACCTGCGGAACGCTGTTGTATGATTTATGTGCACGGTATCGGGTATAACTTCGTCCAATTGTTTACCAAGGAGACGTGATATTTTGGTAATATTAAAATTACCAAAACATTTCCTTATCAAGATTAAATGTTGACGAGATTATTAACCTTTTAGGCACGACGCGCCACTATAGTGGCTTCCGCGGATGTCATCTCTCTGAACAACGCACCACTATAGTGGCTTACTCTAGTAGCTCACTCGGTCATCGTTTGAATTAAATAATCGTCTTCATATGCATTGTTTCACACTTCTTTTGTCTTCACATCGATTTACAACAGTTTTAACAATATACAGACAGAATATACAGACACTCTGTACAGTACATATCAGACTCTGCCGTCCAGAGAAATAGCCTCGCGCAGAATTCAGCCGTACCTAAAATGTTAACTTGGGTCATCCAAAGAATTACTACATGCAAAGATGCGTGTATGATTCTATTTGAAAAGTTCTCGCAACATGACGAATAATAACATTTTTTTTTATATATCTTTTTTTATATATTTTTGACAATATAATAATTTACATTTTATGTCAAATTTGCGTTCACTATAATTCTATTGCAGTAAATATTCAATATAATTTTCATTTTCTCATAATTCAATGTAATTTTAATTTGGTACGAGTTTAGTATGATTCTATCTTAAAACGGCGTTTATAATTTAACCTCATGGTACAATTGAATAAAATATATCTAAAATTAATATTTTAGAAAGCATTATGATTTCATCGTCCCTTTAAGAAAGCACTCTAGCTTGAGCATTATGTATATCTAAACACATCCGACATGCAAGCAGTTGAATTTATGCTGACCCATGTATTATACAATCCAATTTAGTGCATGAATCAGTTAGGACTTACAAGGAGAAGTCCCTAGGGTTGACGCTTACATTTTGATAAGATTTGGTACAGTAATAGAGTTTGCAAAGCTGAATCCAACGATACGCGGTTTTAAGGGTAGAGACGGCTTATAGTTTTTGAGATAATTAATGATGAAATTGTTAATAAAAAGCCAGAAAGACGCACTGGATTACGGCGCTAGGGTTTAGGTAAGCCGGATTGAGCCTCCCACCTTTCCCCACTCCCGAATATTACTGTGCTAGCGTGGTACTCTACTCGGAACGGTTCGGCTCGGACCGATGATGCCCGAGCCGTGCACCGATTTGCATTGTGCGTACGCTCTCCTCTTCGGTCGCATTCAAACCGAT